ATATATATATATATATATATATGAATTTATATAAGCGCATTTTCTGTTATATAAAAGTTTCTTTTTTTAAATTATTTTTTTTAGTAACCTATTAAAAGTTTTTTATGAGCTAAAGATTAATAGATAAAAAATATTATTGACAATACATAAAGAAACAGTCAAGTGGTGATTTTCGAAGTAATCCGGTCACTGACTGCGGAATCAATTGTGCAACTGATATGCGCATTCTTGTGAGCTGATATATTACATCTTATGTGCTTAGTTGCCGTAGGAAGGAATCGCAAGCTTTCTTTCGAAAAATAGCTCACCAAGAGAATAGTATAACCGAGAAGGTAACCTGTTTATCAGCATGCATCATTTTTTCTTCTAAATCCCATTAATCCTAGAAAGCTCTAGAAGTGGAATCAAAAAGAAGATCGCAACTGTTCTACTCTAGCAATAAAGCCAGTATTGATATCCGGTGAAATAACATTTTAGCTTTAAGTCATAGATATAGACTATTGCGTCGTCTTTTCTATCGCTTTCTTTCGCGTCACAGAGTCATTAAAATGCATCCCGCGTTATCCCGTGTGGCCGCCTCAAAGAAGAATAATGATAAATAGTAAAGTGCATAAGACATACATGTTTGCTTATATGCATATTAGAAGATATATACAGGTATGCATCTTATAAATGTGCGTATATAATCTTAATGGTCTTCCTTATTGAATTTGCATTCAGACTTATTATTATAATTATTAGCTTTTTATCATTTTTTCTCATTGTTTCTAGTATTAACCTATCTGATATCTGTGAAACATTTGTATAAAATTGTGAGCGTCTACATTTTGGCTCTAACTAATCTTACTTTTCAATTTAAATCAAGAATCAATAATGTTTGCGCTTAATAAAAAATATTTTACAATAAAATATTCGAAACTATTAAAAAGTGATCACTATGTATGCTATACATACTTAATGTTTTATATACATATGTTTATACATGCTTATATAGGTTTTATATGTTTAATAAACATGATATGAATCTGATATGAAAATCATTTTTGTGTCTCTTTGCAGAAAAAAATTACTAATTACGAAAGTATAAAAAAAGAGTATGCTTATAATATAGTTTTTACAATGTATATATTCGTGTTCATATTTTATTCTTGAGATTTGTTAAAAAATACATACTGAAAAAGTCTAATTTATTCATATTTTTTTACCTAAAAATTTTAATTTACCAAAAAAAAACCATTGCTGCTACTTCGTATTATAATAACTCTTAATATAACGACTATCTAGACAAAAAGTAGTCTTCCTGAGTACTTTCTTATTCTTAGCTAATTGCTTCTTACGAAATTATTAGAAATCGCTAAGATGTGTTACTTTGCTCATATAACTACTTAGATACATTTTCTACGTGATAAGTGCATAATAATTTTGTAGAATAACTTAATTACGAATAATAATATATATTTGTTGTTCGAAACATTTATGTATTCTGTAACTTTTTTTTCACGCGATTCGATATAATAGCAAGATCGTTATCACGGTACATTGAGAACACACAACTTGTGTTGATTTTCCTGAGAACGCGATCGATATTATATTTATTCGCACTCTATTCAAAGACAAGATAAAATGCTTTAATGAAATTAGAATAGATACATACATAAAAATATTCATTTGCTTCTTGCAATTAAAGTGCAAGCGAACAGATTGTCGCTCGTAGTTATTACTATTAAATTTACGTACAAGAATAATTTGATTCATACATATATGATTGATGAAAAGTAAAATATTTACATTTAATTAACGATAAATTATTGCATTATTTATATGTGATATAAGCAACATATTATAATTTTATATATATATAAATATAAATCACATTTTATCTCGCAGCAAATACAAACTTGCACATAGTAGATTTTATATTTATTCTTACCTCGTTCCATGCAAACCTTATGAATCGTTTGTTGCTTAAGAGAATTTATATAACAAATGCGTGAAAAAACAAGATATTGATATATTTGTAATAATCCAAGTTTTGCCAAATTGTTCAATAGTATCACACACTCAAGAGCACACACAGGAAATTATGTAGATAGCGCGTCATAAAGCAATGTGTGCACGGTCAACGTCCAGACTAGACTGACTGAAGCAGCCATCTCCAATGGTAGAAGCCTTTCTACTTGCAAGCCATAAAGCAAACTCGTCCTTTCCATTACATTCGAAAACTTGGAAACATATCTAATGGTTGCTGAATTGATAAAAACTATTACTATTCGTGACGAAATAAAAATAAAATTATAACTATGATTATTTTAAATTAATGAATGAATTAAATTCGGGTAGTGTGAGCCGTTTGCAGGATGTTATGCAGAGAATGTGCTTAAATATATATATATATATATGTATACACATATATTTGACGAAATAATTTTTTTCCTTCATATAGGATGCTGGATTTGCATCACGTTTATATGAAGGACCCCGTATACCCCCCTAACTAATTTTAAAATATTGCGAAAAAATATAAACCGACGTTTTGTGAACATTTCAGCTCACTTCATCAGGGTTTAAAGAGCAAACCTGACAGGGAAACCCTGATGAAGTGAGCTGAAATGTTCAAAACGTCGGTATAAGAATAAATAAAAGAGCAACCCTGTATCAGGTTGCTCTTTTAACCCTGATGAAGTGAGCTGAAATGTTCACAAAACGTCGGTATAAGAATGACACTAACGCGGTTCAAACCCGAAAAACATCTTTGTATATATTTCAAAACTTATATGCAAAAAAAAAAATTAAAAAAATATCCGTGAATGAAATTTATATTTCATATAAATTGCGCTATAAATAAATTGTTTATTTTATTTAATTGCTTTAAAAAAAAGAAAACCTATTAAAATTATATTGGGAAATAGTTATTCTAGTTTTAAGCTGTTTTTGTTTTAATAAATAAGATAAGTGCAATATTTATCTTTTTAGGAATTCTAAAACAATTACACAGTCATAATTGAGTCACAGTCTTAATTTGAGTTAAGTTTATTAAAAACTTTAATAAAAACAATATTTTTGATTAACGGTCTATTCATAATTTTCGACAAATAAAAGTATTAAGATTTACAATGTGTCCATTTCACTCTATAAAATATATTAAATTTTAAAAAGACAACAACAGAATCTTTGACAATACAATAATCTTTGACTTTTACAATAAGAAATTTGATAGTAGAACTTTCAATTAATACTATTAGGGTTTCCTTATGAATTTACAATATAAAATAAACCTAATTTAAATACTACTATTTAAATACTACCTTGTTTATAAAATTATTAAAATAGTTACATTATTGAAACCAAACATTTATTTAACGACATATTTACAATATTTTTTAAATTTAGTAAACAACCATAATACCTATCTCTTTGTAAAACTTTTACTACAATGTCATAAAATTAAAATCACATTTTAGTTTTATTAAATTTTTAAATAGTTTATTAAAGTTTCAATAGTCTATAAAGGTTTTAATAATCAAAAAAATAGCCAAACATAATAATTTTGTTTTATATAGGGTAAGTCGGAGAGAGACTAATTTTTTTTTAAAGTCGAATTACGTAATAAATAATAGGACAAATGAAACATCATTCATGTATGATTTACTACATGTATTGAACTTATGATTATTATAAGTACTGAAGCAAAGAACATTATACTTTTTAAAAAAATTAAAATATAAAAAATTATAACAATGGTCTATCTATTCTCACCCTCTTGGATGAGTTGGACCACTGCATATAAAATAGATAGAACTCTACAAAAATTTACATTTCTTAACAAAAAACACATTATTATATTTAAGTTTATTTTACATTGTTTAACAAATACGCATTGTTATTCTTACAGTTACATTTTACCATTTTCTTCTATTCATTTCTTCCTTTTAAATAACCCAGCAAACAATTTGGTTGTGGAATGTTGTGGATTTGTGGATCAAAAATCGTCGGCGGAATTTAATGCCAAAACCATAGCCTACTGTATCCTCAGTAGGATACGGTTTGGCAATTGAATCTGTCCAACATGTAAATATGCCAAAATGAGACCAAAATCGTAACAGATCTGCCACTAACAAAGTGAAGCCAAAGTGAGGCACCAAATCCACAACAGGTTTGATCATCGTCTGTTGGCGCCAAAATATCGCCAAATACAGAACATATCTATTATCAAAACTGTCAACAGAACATTAGCAAATAAAGAGCAGATCTGTCGTCAGAAACGTCGACAGATTGCTACCAAACGCAGACCAGATCTGTTGCCTAGATTCCACACTTGGAAGTGGAATTACTTACTAAAACAAAAAAAAGAAACCCAATAGCATATTGTCTTGTCCGAGGGGAATTAATTCGAGATTTCACTAGAATTAATTTCTGGAGGTCTGATTCAACTCGCCGATCAACCGATGAACTCCATTGAAAGGGACCGAAAAAATCCAAGTGTAATAGCGGGATTCGAACTCGAGATCTCCATATTCACAGCCCCTGCACTCAGTCCGCGAGACCACTTGTGTTTCTTACTAACATATAATTATTTTTATCTATTTATTCTCAAGCTATCCTACACATTTCATTTATTATTTATGTAAATTATTATTTTATTAAAACTATAGAAGTACAATGTACCTGCAACAATAAATAAAAA